ACTTATTTATGGTAATGATGATTTGTGGAATGCAACATATATTAAAATTGAAACGATTTTGATTACACAAACGTGCAATTCCTCAGGAATTGACCATGCTACTCAAATCTAGACAATAAATAAAAACTGGTAATATCAATATGATTATGAATGGTGAATACAATCTGATTTACGATGCCACGTTTACTTTGATTATCAAGTGTCAGTAGATCATTATATTTTATATCTATACACTGAGGTAAGAGTGTTTTAACCATAACTGATAATTGTTTTACTTGTGATATTTAATAGGAAATTATTCCGTGACTTGTTCTAAAAGGGGGAACACTTTCACACATGCATATTTCATATTTTGTTGCAAATACATTTTCCAGCGCATTCGCGCTTTGAATGACTATAATGTTAGAGTCCCTTTTGGTCATTTGGTTCAAGTATTTATATATTCCCCGGTTTCAAATTATTTTGGTTTTGGGCATTCCTGGTGACGATTATTCCGGAAAAGCGCCTCAGATGAGCCCAAATTATGAAAGGTTATTTTGCTTTTTTCAAGTGGAAAAATTTGGAGGACAATATCTCAACTTGTTAGCTTTATGAATAATATTAACGTAAAAAGCTGAATTCGAAATAACATTTTATTATTTGATGAATCAGACTTCTACAATAAATGGCTTTTGTATATTCCAGCTGTAAAATGTTTTTTAGTGGTGATGATGAAAATATTACGTCAAAAATCAGATTGCCACAAGGGTTAGTACTATCGCCCACCACTTTTAACGTATTCATAGCTGATGTAATGGATAACACTCAGGACAAAACTGCAAGTTTTTAGATGATGTCACAAAGGACAAGACATAAACGAATCAAAAGAAAAAAACAGCTGTTTAATATACGAGCTGAGTCCGATAGAAATCGACATAATGCAAGTGCACGTATACATGTACATGTACAAGACTTTGATTGATTTTGGAACATTCAAATACGAAATAAAAGATGAATTTTGGTCTGTTTTGTAGGGTTCTTATGACAACTCTATTTTCAAACAGTTACAGACTTTCCTAGGAGATTTTTCAACCTGATGTCTTGATATTCTTTGCATAAGGTCGATTTCTATCCAACGCAGCTCATATCGTGGCCGCCAGCTTTTATTAGTGGAGGAAGCCGGAGTGCTTGGAGAAAACCACCGACCTAAGGCAGGAATATTGGCAATCCTAGTTGGGATATTTGAAGAACGCATATGCCACGTGCAGGGTTTAAATTCACAACCTTAGTTTTGACAGGCTAGTGATACATACATGAGATGACCTACTTAGACCACTTTTCCACCGAGGCCCCTAAAACAGCTGAAGATGTCAAAGAATTATTTAAAGTAAACTGAAAAGTGGAGAATTATCTGAGAATTAATATTAACTTGAAAAAAATGTGTCTATTTTCAAAAGACAACCCAGATACAGAACAGAACACATTCCAAATCTACCACAGTATGGTGAGATCTGTTATGGAGTATGCATGCCCACTCTGACAGATAACTTTCTCAGACAATATGAAAAAAAATCGAAGCTGTACAAAGAAAATGACTGTCATTGTGCCTTTAACTACAAGGAACATCAGGTAGAGAGACGAAACCAATAAACAACTCATCGACCTTAGCATAGAATAAATTTCAATGCGGTAAATCAATCCAAAAACATAGCTCAAACAACGAAATAACAGTTGGAATAGTATCTTATCAACAACGATACTTATGATTAACAAGGGTCTCCATTTGGTAAGGCCATAAATCAATCCATAGACATGTTCAAAGCGACAAAGGTTGATACCAAACTGATAGAACCAGATTTCACATATAAGGCAGGCGCAGATTTTATGTTGATGAGAACTGTCCAAAGCAAACCTGCTAGAAGACAGTACAGACTCAACAGTAGTGTCATTCACAGATGGCTCTTGTCAGGGTGACCTAGGACATTTGGACCGAAGCAGTAGTGAATTCTGGAAATAGGCAAGTTTAAACAAAACAAGACAGGTCAGTAAAAATCGTCTAATGTCTAATTATTTAGGCTGTTTTAGTAAAATAACAAGTATTGCACAAAATGAACAGATGAAAGAGGTATTCACAGGACCAATTTTCCATGCAGAAATAAATGTGTTTATGGGCCACCAAAGTCCCCGCTTGTAAATATGCATGAGTCAATGTACTAATAATTAACATTTTCTTTTCTTTTAGTTAATGACATATATTTCTACATGTTGTCATTAGAAATTGCTTGCAGGTTTGAGTGCTCTTATTGTTCAATAACATTTGTTGAGGCAAACTAAAGTTAGAGAATGGAAACGACAGATTTTGCAATTTTTCCATTTATAAAGGGGCATAACTCAAGAACAGTAAAAGTGATGACACCCAATTTTAAACTTGATCTGTGTTTTGTGGTAATAAGCATTGTGTACAAGTTTCATTACATTGCGTTGAGGCAAACTAAAGTTAGAAAACCGAAACGAAAAAATTCAGCAATTTTTATGCTTATAAAGGGGCATAACTCATGAATGGTAAAAGAAACGCCACCCAATTTTGAACTTTGTGTTTTGTGGTAATTAGCATTGTGTAAAAGTTTCATAACATTTGGTAGAGGCAAACTAAAGTTATAGAACAGAAACCAATTTTGGGGACGTACACGACAGACAGGACGGACAAGGGTAAAACTTATACCCCCTCCACTACGGCAGGGGCTTAAAAAGTAGAACACTTATGCAATGTATTAGAATTTCCTTCAAATTTGAAACTTGTACTCAATTTCTGACTGTATGAGCTTGTCAGGTCATGTTGTGTAACATAGGTTGTTCAAAAACCACATCAAAGACACCAGGCTTATAATTTGTAAGCCAGATGTGCGTTTTTTCTACCAAAGACTCATCAGTGACGCTCGGATCAAAAAAGCTAAAAACTAAAAGTACGAAGTTGAAGAGCATTGAGGATCCAAAATTCCGAAAGATTTTGCCAAATTCAGTTTAGGTAATCTACTGTTCACTAACAACTAGCACATCGCAAGGAAAATTGTTTTATCACCTAAAATCCTTTGTCTAAAATAAATGAAGACCTTACAAGGATAATATATACCAAGTATAGTTATCCTATTATTCAAGTGAGAAAAAGGTCAATGACAATAGGAGAAATTCACTTGACAAAAAAACAGTTTTTTTTTTAGCAGTTGCTGAAGAATGAAAATAAAATCAGACAATAGACATATGTCAGACATAAAGTATTTGTATACCGGTACAAGGGATGCAACATCAAGGTCTTCTACCTTTTAAAATATAAGTTTATATTAATAGTTAATGCTGTTGTTGCCAGATTAGCCCCACGGCCCCTATGTCCTAGTCGCATTCTAGACAAAAAGAAATTATCCTAGTTCATAAAACTCCATTATCTAACAAAGCTATTGAGGCCTAAAAAATAAAATCAGACTAAACCTAATTGTTGACAATGCAGGTGGGACAAAAACGGGTTTAAATCATCCTATAGCCAAAGTGCTGTGAGATGAGAGAAGATAAAGATTGGTTGACAATGCAGGTGGGACAAAAACAGGTTTAAACCATCCTTTAGCCAAAGTGCTGTGAGATGAGAGAAGATAAAGATTGGTTGACAATGCAGGTGGGACAAAAAACAGGTTTAAACTGTCCTATAGTCAAAGTGCTGTGAGACTTGATAAGATAAAGATTGGTTGACAATGCAGGTGGGACATAAAAAGGTTTAAACTGTCCTATAGCCAAAGTGCTGTGAGACTTGATATGATAAAGATTGTTTGACAATGCAGATGGGACAAAAACAGGTTTAAACCATCCTATAGCCAAAGTGCTGTGAGATGAGAGAAGATAAAGAATGGTTGACAATGCAGGTGCGACAAAAACAGGTTTAAACTGTCCTATAGCCAAAGTGCTGTGAGACTTGGAAGAAAAAGATTGGTTGACAACGCAGGTGGGACAAAAACAGGTTTAAACCATTCTATAGCCAAAGTGCTGTGAGAAGATAAAGATTGGTTTACATTTTGCATTGTGAACTTAAAATCAAACATTACATTATATTATGGAAATGATCATGTTAAGGCAACATTTTGAATTGAATTATCTTCCTTTGTCCCTAATTATTTGAAGAACAGACAGGCACTATGCACTATATATATATAGCTACTTTCTGCAACTGGTGTGATGATTTTTCAGAAGTGAAGTACACATCATGTTGTAAATCGAATGTTGAGTAATTCTTATCAATAAATTGTTTGACCTAGCTAGGCATGTATAGAATTTTAGGAATATTCACTCACTGCACTATGTTGTGTGTCCTCACAAAGACAGGTAGAGAACAGGCCTGAAATATAGCTAATCAGCAAACAAAAAATAGGGATTTGATTGCAATTTGTTCAATCTTTGCCCAAAATAAACTGAACAGGTTTTTAAGCAGTTGCTGAACCATGAAAATGAAGTCAAGAACAACAGACATATGCTGAATAGAGAGTTAGAAAAAGAAGGCATCTGTATATAAAATATGAAGCATACAGACCTTCTAAAATATTAAACTTTCTACAAATGTTTACACAGCTGTTGCTGTTGGATAAGCATTCTGTGACATTTGTGATAGGTGAGATACAAATGTTTGCTGCAATCAAAAAAACAAAATTTTTAAAGAGAATTTTTAGTAGAGGTCTTCCAATCATCAATCCAATAAAGTTTCAAAACATTTGGCCTTTTAGTTCGTTCAACGAAGATTTTTGGTAAATTGGCTAACCAGAATCAAAGATGCCTTTGGTGACAATGTTTTGAATTTGAATTGAATCAAATGAGGAACCTTACCATGGGACACTTCATTTACAGTACATTTGTATAGTTTCAAATGCTTTATGGACAGTGGTCCAAAAATACTCTTCATTTATTCCTATCATTCCAAACAGGAAGTGAATGAAGGGGTAGGTCAAATTAATGCCTAGAACTGAAGTAAAATTATAAAAGATACATAAATTTTAAACAAATTTTATTTATATTTGTTTTCACATGCTTGTTCAACAATGTTTATAATTTAAAAAGCAATAAAAATGGCACATTCTTTTGTTCAGACAAAAGCTAAGTATTATACATGTAAAATACTTCTAAAGGCTGTTTATAAAATGCCATATATCTATAAAAATACAATATCATCATTCTGGACAAGATTAACAACTGTTTCTTGACTGTCTCCTTGTTTTTTTGCATAATGTGTTGTAATGTGCATTAAGAAATAAATTTTTAAAGCAACATTTTAAAAATTAACTGACATGTTGACTGGCATTAATGTTAATGTAAAAATCTCTACGTGTCTTTACACTTGTACAACCTTGACACCTATAAAAAGGCACTTTGATAAAAGGCTTGATACTTATAAAATCAATCCACAATTTATTTCAATTCTATATTTTGCTTTTAAAACACCCAAACATAATTAAAGTAATGAAATGCTTTTCCAGGAAGCTATTAATTTTGACCTAAACATCCTTTATATCCCTCCATTCAGTAACATCTATTCTGGAAAAAATAAAATAAATAGAGCTTGCAAAGAAATTTATGTAATTAATTCAATATTCATTTACTTAGTAAAAACTTTTCTAATACAGAAAAATCAAAACCATTAATAATAAACCTCCCCTCCCCGCAATACCTTTAAATAAATTCCTCATAAATTGTTTGCTTCTAAAATTGCCCAAAGATGAATACATCAGTTTTCTGTGACTGGTATAATACTGTTATGAAGGTGGGTACAGAACTACTGGAAAAACATTTGTGAATAGCATTAAGTAGAAAAATTAAGGCTTCAATACCTTTTCTATACATCAAAATCTTAAGTACAACTTTCCTTTTCATTTGTTTTTTTTTCTTCTTGAAATAAGTACTTGAATGAATTCATCAAATATTAATCAAAAATAAACTAAATTGAAGATCATTTTTGGCCATTTTTTAAATAAAACTTTAAAAAAGAGGAAAGTTTGTTAGATAATAAATGGACATACATCAAGATCAAAGTAAAAAGAGATCCTTTTTTCAAACTTTAGAAAGCACTGAAACTAAAATAAAAAAGGGAAAAAAAAGACATAATATGAAAATGTATATAATTTGTGAATCAATGAAGTACAATGAGATTTCACTCTTCAATTGAGGTAGAGACAACTGCCATAGCTACAGAAGGTTTCTGTAATGTTTGAACTATAATTTCTGTAGTTTTACCTATCTGTATATGAAGAACACATATCAGTCATATCAGTTAAAAAGTTGCCTACACTTATTTAACAATGATGCCTTCAGGAGTAAAGTCTGTCTTTCAACACAAATACCGAAAATTCAAAAAAAAAAAAAATATTTTCAAAATTTTGCTTCAGACATTATCTATAAACTTTAGAAAAGTTTCTGTCAAAGTTTTCTAAAATTCAAAGCTATTGAAGTCTAACTTCCGTGATTTTGTAGGCACAACAAAAATGGGATAATTTCACAATGAATACATAAGAAAGATAGAAAGAGTATTGAAGAAAAGAGAAAAGAATAATAACATCAACACATGTACAATCACAAAGACTATGTTTATAAAAGAAGATGCCATTGTATAGCCAAGTGCACGCACTGTAAAACATACTATTCAGTAAAATTTCTCACATGATCATCACATGCATTTTATTACATCACATGATCATCACATGCATTTTATTACATCACATGATCAATTAGGAAGAAGATATTGCTATAATCCTAGAAGCACCTATAAATCTGGCTCATTCAACTTTTTTTAATTGGGCAATCAAAAACTTAAATTTTCTTACTCAGTTGCTAAACCCATCTAACATGAAAGTGTTCCAATATAATACTAAAATGTGAATACTATGGTTTGTAAAAACAGTAACCATACACATTTCATTTTATTTTTTTTTTTTTTTTTTCCTCTTTAAAATGTTATTTTGCCTCACTATGGATTGAATACATCCTTCTTTACAAAATCAAATTTTTACAATGACTAAATCATAGTCTTTTATTTCAAAACACTAAATAATAATAAAAATGTAGTTAAAAACATGTCTATTACTTTTGTCTTAAACAGTAATGCACATAATAAATAAGGCAGTAAGCTAAAAGTAAGTAAGACAAAATAAGGTTATAATGCAGAACTCAAATAATCTCAATAGTGCAATATCTAATTCCCAATTACTTAAAACATGACAAATAAAACAAGTTTGTAACTCTGAAAGTCACACCATTTAAATTCTAATAAAAATAATAACTACTTAATATAATATTTTATATATTTACATAATATTACAAAACCAAAACTTATGTACAAGTTGTATAAAAAGGCACTAACTCTTTTAATGTACAAGGTATTTACATTGCTAATGCTATATTACTTCTTAATGAACTTGATCAAAATTCATTTATTTTAAATGGAGTAAATGAAAATAATAAATCAATCAGTTTCAACAGCATTTTACCCTAGAAATTAATTCATTCATCTAACTTTTGCCATTTTAACCTCATGCAGCAAGTCTTAACAATTGAAAACACCACAAGTGTCAGAAGGTACAATAATTATGCTCTTTATTAGACAGTTCCTTTCCTCTTAAACTGTTTTATAATTCAACAACTTTTTATATGTCCTTTGGACAATAATTTACAAAAATAAATTACAATAATGCATAGGCACATATAAACAAATGCATTCACTTGCCAAGCAGTATGCTTGTTTCAGCACTAACCATAATATATAAAAGTCAAATTGTCATGGGCATCACTTTGTAGAGGAACACATTAAGTGTACAAAAACATATTTCTTACACCACCAATTTCAATTTTTTTCATTTATCATATCTTGCTCACTGTTTATGTCTTATTATTTTTCTACACAGAAAATTTAAATCCGAAAACTTTCCAAGTAAATAAAAAAAAACTTTCAGGAAAATATCTAAATAGTTTAATACAAAAGGCCACAAAACACAAAAAAAATCTTATCAAAATACAGAGTTAAAACAACCACTTTGTAAATATTCATTTCTTTAAATAATAACAAAATATACTAAATTAATAACTTGTATAAACAACCTTAGTATTGCATACGTTTCACACCTGTCACATAACATTAAATAGCAACATTTAAAAAATTTGTATCATGTGGCCTGAATCATAATTTATATTGTTTATTTTTGTTCTCACAGTATTTTTAAACTACTGCTTAGACTTAATACCAGAGTAATGAGTATCCACCAAAAGCCAGGACCTAGGCACCTTTTCTACTAGCACAGTTATCTCCCATTGTACAATAACTACTGATTTTATTTACATTGTTGAGCCCACTTCGGTAGAATTCGACGTCTAGCATTGGTGAACCAGTAGTTAATCTGATTAATTGTTAATCCAGTCTGTTTAATTAACATAGCTTTTTCATCATCATTAGGATATGGATTATCTTTATGTTGTCTTAACCAGTCCAACATTATAGCTACAGCCTGAAAAATACAACAAAATCTTAAGAACAAAGCATACTATAACCTACTTTTTTTCCTTCTCAAATTTTGTGTAATTCTTCCAGTTGGAGTTTTAGTATACCATATTTGTTAAACAGTGTTCAGAATTTTTTTTTTTTTAATACGATTTCAGTACGAGAATTTGAAAGTGGAGTCATTTCATACCAGAAGTAAAGACATACCTGAGTCACTTGCACTTTATGAAATTTCTGTCCTGTTTCAGAAGGGAATTATTTCAATGGACTAAAATTGCTCAGGAATTGGAGACAATAATGTTTGCCAGGACTTTCAATTGTAATATAAACAAGCATTCTGAGAGTATTGCGAGTATTGCATGGCAGACATAGTCCCCAACTGGTTAAAAATTCATTGTACTGGAACAAAATGCTAACTTGATCTATAACTTGTCATGGTGTTAACTATATAACAAATATCAAGTCAATATCTTCAAGCATGATGCAAAAAATTTGGAAAACTTGATAATTTAAGTGAATTTTCTTTGTCCAAGGACCATAACTTTGCACAAAATCACAAGACCGGAACAAAATTCAAACTTGATCTGTAACTTGTCATGATAAAACTATATACCAATTATCAATTCAATATCTTCAAGCATGACGAAAAAAAATGCAGAAAACTGATTATTTGATTGATTTTCTAAGTCCAAGGACCATAACTCTGCACAAAATCATCAGACCAGAACAAAATTCGAACTTGATCTGTAACTTGTCATGATAAAACAACTTACCAAATATTAAATCAATATCTTCAAGGACGAAAAAAAAAAGTGTGGAAAACTGATTTGCCGGACTGACAGACAGACAGACAGAGTGCAAACCGGTTCAGGGTTCCTCCTACCTATCAAGTGGTAGTAAATCTTCATATGTTTTTCTCATATCTATGAAAGTGCTTAAATATAGCTGAAAATAGTTTTACTTGTGTAATCTGGTGTTATATAATTAAGAATCTTACCACTTCTTGTAAAGGGGACACACTTGCACGTTTGTGTATTAAAAGTAAAATAAATGGAGAATGTCTCCATGGGACACACATGATGCTCCAGCTTGCATATAACGTTATAAAGGGGCATAACTCAAGAACAGTACAAGCGATGCCACCAAACTTCAAACCTGATCTGTGTTTTGTGGTAATAAGCATTGTGTATAAGTTTCATAACATCAAACCCGTGGTAAAGTCAGTATAAATTCAAGCCCACATGAATTATTTCTATTCTAATAGGACAAATACGGCAATTCTTTTCGATCCAAGCTCTCTTTGGGGACGTACGGACAAGGGTAAAACTTCCCCTCCACTATGGGTGTGTACTCAAAGCGTTTAGAGAACGTCATATTAGAATGGTATATATAATCTTTCACCAACATATTTGAAAACCTACAAGAATTGATTGTGAACTCCAAATTTGTTATCCCTACTCCAAATTACACGATGTAATAAGATCTGTAAAATCTGTACACAAATTTGTTGACTCCTGATTTTAGCCTGTTCCAAATGAGAGACAATCATAACCTTTGGCAAATACTAATAAGTTAAGTTTAACTATTTGTTTTGCTATTCACATTGTTTAATCAATCCTAGTTTTCGTCAAGAAACAGCTCCTGGAAAGCCAATGCAAGTTTTAAGGAAATACCCACATAAACATAATCACGTCATAACCTCCTGTTCACCATATTTGCACTTTAACACAATCATTAACAGTAGGAAAAACTCCAGGGGAACAATATCAATGTATGACCTTTAAAATAATAAAAAAAAAAAAAAAATTATAACAATTACCTCTTTTGGTAGACTAGGGTGTTTTTTTGATTCAGACTTGTTACTATGGTTGCTACTACTACTAACAAGACTGCCATTATCACTAAAATCAGCCAAGTCTTTCAGAGATTTGAACTGGCCACTGAATGCTGACATCTCTAAATTCTTCTTTGCCATTGGTGAGGCAAACATTCCACCAACCATCTACAAAAATTATTGCATTAAAATAATTTGTTAAATGATTGTCTTGAATCGTTGTCATAAATTATTTTAATCATAAATCACATTTCTTATCATTAGATTGTTTGACTATACTATAACTTCTTTACAATCCACAGTTTATCCTCTCTTAAATGAGTGTAACAATGTATATCATTTTGAGAAGCGATACATATTGCAATATTTGTGTTGATGATGATGATGATGATGATGGATGGCTGCTTAATGTCCAGCGGCAAATTAATATGCATATTCAGGACGAGAACATGTTAATGTAATATGAATATTAACCCTGCTTTGTACTAGACAGACATGCTGAGCAGGAATTTTAACGTGCTAGTTCACAAGGTAACAGTCCGCAGGAAAACATGTCACTTTACCCGGACACATTATTTTGACTCAGAGCCGACCAGTCTTTGCTCTTACTCCTTAATGCTGTGTGCTTAGCCGAGAAGCAGCAAATACCAATTTTAAAGCCTTTGGTTTGACCTGTCCAAGGTTTCGAACCCACGACCTACCACACTCGAGGCAAACACGCTACCATAAGACCACTGAGGCGGTTATTTGTTTTGATGTACATGCTATGACATACTTTTAATGGTAATATGGGACAGAACAACATAGTTTTCTGAAGCAGGAGTTTTATTTAACTTGAAAGATTGATACGATGTGTAAGTTTAGAAACGATATCTATTCAAACGTAAATGTTTCAGTTATAAGGTTTTTTACATGTAGGAGGATCACTGATGTCATTTGTTCAGTAAGCAGTGGACTTTGTACTGTAAATCAAAACCATGAGGAACATCTGCAAAGGCAACAAAGGTGCAAAGGTGAGTTGTGATCTTATGATAAAAGAAAGAAACAAGAATGTGTCCATAGTAAACGGACACCCCACTCACACTATCACTTTCTATGTTCAGTGGACCGTGAAATTGGGGTCAAAACTCTAATTTGGCATTAAAATTAGAAAGATCATATCATAGGGAACATGTGTACTATGTTTCAAGTTGATTGGACTCCAACTTCATCAAAAACTACCTTGACCAAAAACTTTTAACCTGAAGCGGGACGGATGGACGGACGAAGGAACAGACGCACAGACCGAAAAACATAATGCCCCTAGGTGGGGCATAAAAATTGTGTGTTGGGTTCTGTTTTCTTTTATGTGATGAAGAGTGCAATGTCTGCTGACAGTTTTTGAAAAAAAGGATGGAAAACAGAAAATTACCCCAGCTTTCAGTTTATTAATTGTTGCTCTTACCTTGACGTTTGACCAAAAGACATCAAAATTAATAAGGCTCTTTTGGGGAATTTGGGTAAATGGTTACCACTTTAGGGTATACATCAATGAGACAGTATGTGTTTATCTTAAGGGAAACATTCTATGTAATTAATTGAAATTACTTCCTAGAAATTCAAATGAAATATCAAGATTGTTACATTACTCTAACTGTAGTGTTAACAAAATCATAAATTGCAAAAACAGATTCTTGAATATATTTAAATATAATATGTCCAACCATCATATTATCCATAGCACTAAATTTGTGGTCTTTTGTTGGAGTCTCCATCTGAGGTGTCATTCCCGGACCCATGGGTCCACCCATTGTTGTTGTTACTTGGTTCTGTGAATTAGGAACCTGGAATGTTGCAGGCTGAAAGAAAAGCAAAAGTTACATTTACGTACTGTTGATAAAAAGGAACAGCAAGTCTATTGCTAAAACACTCAAATCACTAAAACTTGCATCTTATTTTATTAGCAATTAAGATTTTACTAAATAATGTACAGGACTATAGTAAATTGATGACCGACATCTATGTAGGAAGAATTTTTTTTAACTACAGAATGTTTAATGTTTACATTTACACAATTCTACGATCGAAAAACCAGTAATTACTTCTTTAGAAAATAAATATTTTTGTCCCAATTTGGCCTTTACAGGCCTTCCTCAGTGAGTTATATATGAATAAATTGATATTCTTATCATCAATTATAAGTATAATGCGTTTTATATAAAAGATGTCATCATACAGAAATCCGGTCAGTTGTCAGTGATTCCTGCTTGAAGTCCTCACATTATCTGGTCATTCAAAAATCAGGTCACTTGACAGCAATGTTCAGTCCCCTGCTGATGCACATATTTTATCTTTCAAAAGGCAACAACTACAATATATTTTTTATGGTTCTTTTCAACTTTTTCACAAAGATAGCTTACAAAGCAAATACATTGATCAGTGCTGATTTTCAAAGACGATCTAGCCATTGCTGATATAAACCTTGTTATATATATTTGATAAAAATCTGTAAAGAATTATATGCTTGAGGGCACTTACAATGCAATTTTCCATATACACATGTAATTTATCAAGGGGCATAACTCCTTAAAAATAGTTAATCAGCACTAATTTTCACTCATCAAAACAATTCTGATATAACCTTATATATAAATTTCATAAAAATCTGTGTGAGAGCGCTAACAAGCTAATAAGTGCAGACGGAAGGATCCCTGGTATGTCTATGTCCTTTGCAACATGTTAAAGCATTGGAAAAATATGTGGTCAAAGTGATATTAGCCAGTTGAAAGGGATTCCTGAAAGTGGTAACAAGACCATACCAAAACAAAGAGAAAACTGATAAATCTTGGCAATGCAAAACCATTGTTTATAGTCAGACAATGACATTTAAGACAATCTGTTGAGGACAATAAGTGTCAGCATTATATCATGGTCAAACAATGAGTGATAATAATAGATAACAGGTGATAAATCTAACAACTGACCATATTATCACCTTTAATCTTATATTACAAAGTCCAGTCATAACTCATCATACATGTAGGAGGGAATACCAAGTGATTTCTAACACTAAGAAACAAACTTTTACTTGTAAACAACCTTCAAGTATTGTAAATTCAGAAATTATTGCAAGGTTTTTATTAATGCGACTCCTTGAGTATCGCAAAATTAAAAACTTGCATTCTGATATCTGTTATGTATATCTGTACAAAGCTTTTCCTAAAATCACAATAATTAAACTCGCATGTTTGTTCATTCTCAAAAAATCGCATACAATAATAATTTCTGAATTTACAGTATCAAATTTCTGGTGTCATACAAAATTTTCTTAAATTATAAGAAAATAAATGGTCTTATTATGAGAGAAGTTACAGGTTAATTTATTTGTTTAGGTTGAGAAAAGTATAGAGCAATTCGAAGATGTCTATAATGTCAAAACTAAAGTGTATTCAGTTATATAAGAATTTTTACAGAAAGGCCTGGGCCTCCTTGCCTCCCCCTGGGCTCCGTCTATTTTGTATCAACTTCTCATCAAACCTTTACAAAAAAAAAAATCTAAATTGTTTATAAAGAGATTTTCATGCAGACCCTCTAAGAAATACCAAAAGAATGAAGAATAGAGATGAATGTCATAGTAAATCACAATGAACATTTTTCCATGTTGTAAAATGCCTGAGTGGAATTTGATGAAATCAACCACAATATATCATATTTATACAGACATAAACAACTGATAAACCATATTGATGTAAATCCACACTTAAGTTTGACCTTATCATTCATCACTACACTATAAAAAGGGAGGAAAAAAGTTTCAAATAAAAATAAATGATTTTTTTTCAAACCATATTCTTACTGACAGATACTGACAAAACCAAAGAAATATAACATCTAAAAATTACTCAGGTCAAAGAAAAAACATGGTTAGGCAAAACAAAAAGAGAAATCTGATTTACACAAGGTTAGTCCTTCCTTCAGTGTAACTGCCACCACACATGTACAATACTTTGGCCTAGTCATTGCATGTTATACTCATTAGATCTGCATGATATAAGCCTGTCAGTTAGTGCAATATCATAGCCAGGCTTTAATTTGTCAGTCAAGCACAAAATCAAGACTAGATCTGGAGTGATATTGGAACTGTTTTTGTTTTTGTTTTTTTTAATTTAAAACCTTTACAAATGCAGGTAAGCTAGTTGATCTGAAAGACCCCACACACTCCTAATGAAAGCAGCTGTCTTAAATCTGTTTGGTGTAACCTTACAAAACTAATAAATACAGAAACAAAGAGTTGAAAATAAAGTCATGGAAATAGAAACAGGTGAGACAAAACTATTACTTACTGGCATTAATTACCGGTCTTAAATCTTATGTCAAATGAATGATGATCCTATTGCTATTGAAGTTAATTAAAAGCCCAAAATTCCAGGAGCACAAAAAATGTGCCTGAAGAGTTGCAATTAGAGCCTAATAGCAATATAGTAATTGTAGTTTCTCAACTTGAATTAATTTGGAAATATGGTTAACAACCCAGGCTTATTCAGATAATCTTGGGGTCACACCCCTTAAAATATGGAATTTTTTTTTAAGAAGAAACAAAGTGGGCAATGAAAATAACAAAGTCAAAGAAAAGACAGACAAGGCCATAGCTAAAAGAAACAATACAAGCAAAATCCACAAAACAATGCATAGAAAACTATAGACTGAACAACAAAATCCTTGCTAAAAACTGGGAGTACACTCAGGTACTCCATAGGGTTAGCAGTTCCTTCTAACTAGTGACACCTACTGTAAATTCAGAAATTATTGGGTGAATTTATTATTGCGATTTTTGGAGAATGGACAAAAATGCAAGATTTTTTTGCGATTTCGGGAAAAGCTGCATACAAATATTTGTATCAGATATCAGAATGCAAATTCTTATTATTGCGATAATCACCACATTGCACTATCCTCGCGATAATTTCTGAATTTACAAATGCAAATTCTTATTATTGCGATAATCACCACGTTGCACTATCCTCCAATAATTTCTGAATTTACAGTATCTGATTACATTCTACTCAGGGCTGACAAATCAGTTAATTATAAGGTTTTGTTTCACAGCAGATTATCCTGGCATGTCAATTCTCTGAAACATTACTGAATGTGAAGTTTGAAATGAAAAAAACAAACTGCTTTCAGGATAAAGGATACATGACAATGACTGGTACATCAAACAAATATTTAAAACAAAGATAAAACTCAGAAACATTTAGCAAATTTTTACAAAAGTAGTTTCTAATTGTCATTGAGGCAGCATTTGTTTCAAATTGAAACCCCAACTAGGTATTCTACTAATCATTACATCACTATCAAAACCAATCTTTTTATCTGGTAATTCAATTTATTAAACTACATGTCAAATGGGAAGATCTTTTTTCTAAAAACTTACTTTCTTTAATATCTTGAGTAATAAGAACGAGGAAAAAAAGTGTGGAAAGCTGATTTGCCGGACTGACGGATGGACAGACGGACAGATGGACAGAGTGCAAACCTAAAGTCCCCTTCGACTTCGTTGGTAGGGGACTAATAAGTAACTATTATTAACTCAAAAAAGAAAATGATTTCTCATGGGTTGTATATTTCATTGTGACAAAAAAAAATATTACAAAATAAAAATGTAAATGGCAATGATTGCTGGGAAACACATTTAATACATTGTATGTTTTTTCCTTTAGAAAAGTCAATATATAGATTGAAAATATAAATTTAAATTTGGTATGTATTTTATACCTAATACTTGACAGAATATCAATGTTTAATTGTGCAAGATACATTTTGAGAGGCCTTATCATCAAGTCATAATGATATTAGTAAAAACACATGGCTGTCTGATTAACCAAACATTCCTCCCTTATAACTCACCACAAATTAAACACAATTTTCATTATAATTCTTATAGACTTTGATTTTTTTTTTAAACAAATTGCTCCTTCTGTCCCTAAATAACTCAAATTAATTGTGTATGGGACTGTGTTTAGTGCCTTAATTCCTTTATTATATACTTCTGAATTATGAGGGCTTTTGAAACTTTTTATATACCTTTAATATGATTTATTCCTTGATCTCAAATTCTTTATTTCAGGTAATAAACTTTGATAACACAGGAAAATATAATACATATGATAGAATTTATCAAAGTAACTTGAGAAAATGAAATATTAAATGAAAACCCAATACACAATGTAAAATGTGTATTTTAGAATGAATCATCCAGCTGTAATTTTATCATCTGATTAAACGTTTTAATGACTTTGTATAAATCTGTATAGTAGCCAAGGCCTTGTTATCAAATTCCTTACATTCCCAGGGAGGGGCTGAGAGTTGTTTGTCAAACAATAAACGATCTACTTGGTCAGTAGTCGGGTCAGTGAATCACAATAGCCAGGCGGAGAACCTATCACTTGAGGACCACCCATTTTGAGTATTGGTAATACATGGAGATGGTATCTCGCCAAACTTTAGTTATTCAATCTACCTTCATATTCAGTTTGATCGACAAGTTGACAAAAACAGCTCAGCCAGGCATACTGAGAGCAGATACTTTTATTTTTGACACCACCAAGTAGTTCAAAGCTTTTAATGAATAAAAATGTAGGTTTCCTGGATGTGGGAGCCAGGTGTGACTTGAATGTACTTACTTCTTTTAAGTAAAATTTTGTGTAATATCAACAAAGACTTTACCAATGAAACAAGAGTTTGGTAGAGCATGATGAAGGTGACATATGAAAGATTAAACAAATCAGGAGTATTATTAATTTAAAAAATTATACTATATACTAGCTTCTTTTGTATTATCAAAATTTCATTACTATTTTAGCTGCACATGGCCAAACAATGGCCAGCTTGGGTTTATGCCATCACTTTGTTTCTGTCTTGTTATTCCCCATCATAAAGCCTTTTCTCAGATTTCATACTTCTCTAGATGCACCAAGTTTTATGATTATAGGTCATTTGATTCTAGAGAGAACTGAGAAATAAAGATGAAGCTTAAAAGCTTAAAGCCAATGAAACAGTGAATAAAATGCTCCGCAGGGCGCAGCTTGATACGACCGCAGAGGTCGAACCCTGAACAGTTGGGGCAAGTATGGACACAACATTCAAGCTTGATACAGCTTTGCATTTGGATTGTGATTAAATATTTGACACAGCATAGGTTTCTGACAGAGAATGAATGTGGTCTAAGAACTTAAAAATTTTAAAATGGACATTCACCTATTATGGTCCAATATCCAAAATCTAAATACATGGTTAGATTCAGCATATCAAAGAACCCCATATATTCAATTTTTGTTGAAATCAAACAAAGTTTAATTTTGGACCCCGATTTGGACCAACTTGAAAACTGGGCCCATAATCAAAAATCTAAATACATGTTTAGATTCAGCATATCAAAGAACCCTAAGAATTCAATTTTTGATAAAATCAAACTAAGTTTAATTTTGGACCCTTTGGACCATAATGTAGACCAATTTGAAAACGGAACCAAAAATTAAGAATCTAAATACACTGTTAGATTCGGCATATCAAAGAACCCCAATAATTCAATTTTTGATGAAATCAATCACAAAGTTTAATTTTGGACCCTTTGGACCTCAATGTGGACCAATTTAAAAACAGGGCCCAAAATCCAAAAACTTAATACACGGTTAGATTCAGCATATTAAAGAACCCCAAGAATTCAAGAATAAAACCCCATTGAAATTGGTCAAGAAATAGGCAATTTATACGAAGTATCTTCTTTTGCACAATACTGTGCAATTGAATATTTCTTGCTATTGCGCAATACTGTACAATTGACAATTTCTTGCTATTGCGCAATATTGTGCTATTGGATATTTCTTGCTATTGCGCAATACTGTGCAATTGAAGATTTCTTGCTATTGCGCAATACTGTGCAATTGAAGATTTCTTGCTATTGTGCAATACTGTGCAATTGAAATTTTCTTGCTATTGCACAATACTTATTATATAATAATTTACACATCCTGTTTGGTGTGTATCTCCTACCATATCATTATTATTTGCTTTTAAATATAAATCAGAAATAACCAACTTAAAATGGAAAATTTTAAAAGAAAAAAAAAGGAAAAAAAAAAAAAATCCCCCCCAAAATTTTTTGAACCCCCTTATGATTCATCACCCCCAAACTCAATCCCAGCCTTCCCTTTGTGGTATGGTACCTTGCAGTACAATTTCAGAGAGATCCATACACTTGAACACAAGTTATTGTCTGGAAACTAGAAAAATGCTTGTTTTTTTGCCCCTTTTTGGTCCCAAATTCCTAAACATCTAGGGCAATTACCCCCAAACTCAAACCCAGCTTTCCCTTTGTGATATGGAAACTTGTAGTTCAATTTCAGAAAGATCCATACACTTACACACAAGTTATTATCATGAAACTAGAAAAATGCTTGTTTTTTGCCCCTTTTTTTGGCCCCCAATTCCTAAAATTTTGAGGCAAATACCCCCAAAATCAATCCCAGCATTCCCTTTGTGATATGGAACCTTGTGGTACAATGTCAGAGAGATCCATACACTAACACACAAGTTATGTCTGGAAGTTACAAAAATGCTTATTTTTGGCCCCTTATTCCTTAATTGTTGGTACCATAACCCCCAAAATCAATCCCAACCTTTCTTTTGTGGTAATGAACCTTATGGTAAAATTTCATGGAGATCCATTCACTTAAACTAAAGTTAGAGTGCGAAAACCAATGTGTCTTCGGACGACGCCGGACGACGCCAGAGGACGACGACGACGCCAACGTCATACCAATATACGACCAAAAAATTTTTAATTTTTGCGGTCGTATAAAAACAGTTCATATGACCTTTATTTTATGGCATAGCATTAGTCTATCCAAGATCAGCATCTGGAAGCATATTTGCAATTGTAAATTATTCACCAGATTTACCACAGGTCTTCACATTGCCCTTTAAAAAATTTATTACAATGATTTCAGTGTTGATTTTGAATATAAACTTTACTATTCAGAAATACTGAAAAAAATCTTGGAGGATCTAAGTACACATAAGTCCACAAGATCAAAAAGTCATTGTAAGGATTGATTGATTGATTGCTGGTGAATTTCTTCTCAGAATCACAGAAGGCTATGGACATTAAATAGATGATATAACATAAAAATAGGAGGGATAATGGACAATTTTGATTGACACAGTTAATTTTTGGCGAGTTTGGTTAGGTATAATGTATCCTCAACATAGGCTCTGTTTGAAGAAACTACTGTATCATAAAACTACAAATAATGATTTTATTCTGAAGAGAGTTATTGCATACATGGAAGATAAACAGAATTATTCCAGTGTCTAAATCATACATGAGGCAACACAGTAATCTATTCATATTTTGCAAGGAAAATTATGGAACATATTGGTCCATTTAACAAGTTCTGTAAGATGAGGCACTTAGCGAACACAACTTCAAATTGTTTTAATGGTCCCAATATTTACCCATATACCCCTCCAGGTCACAGCATCACCTATTTAAGTTGATGGTCTTTTTGGACAAATAAACTTTTGCTTAGGTAGTTCAATAATATTATGAAGAAGAACATTGGTTGTTTTCCATCAAGAAATAGCATGCATTATCAAGAAATAGCATGCATTGTCTTGGTAAGCATACCCCCTACCCCCACCCCCCATCCCCCCTTTTTCATAATTCAATACATCAGAAAAGGGAAGTAGGTGCTTGACAGATCCAAAAATTGTTCACATGTAACAACTCATCACTGAAGCTACTGACCAGATATGAAGTCACTCTATGCAACAGTTACTGAGAAATGTGTGATGAAAATATTTGAAAAATTTTGAAAAATTCAAAGTATCAGCAAACAGAAAGTAGTTGTCCGACAGATCTGAAAGGCGCTCCAACAATTAAACATCACTTTCAAGCTGCAGTCATTCTGATCATTACTTCCTGAGAGAAAAGTTATAAAAAAAAATGTGTTAGATGAACGGAAAGACAATATGGACAAAAAGGGTTTCCTTCCAAAAAATATAGGGTTGGTCGATTGGAAATCCTTTTTTTTTTTATTTTTTGGTCTAAATCTGGAAAATTCACAGTCTGGTATTAACATACGCAAACATGAAAATACCCTATTTGTAGTTTGTCAATGAACGGAGTTGTGATTTTAACACGTTTTTGTCATTTCTGTCCAGTATTTTGATGAAATAATTTAGCAGTTGTAACAACTAATATCTTGATAAATAAAAGTATGATCACTGAAGCATGGTATTTGGGTCGCATCATCGTTTGGATCTTTTATTTTGATGGCTCTTTTGTGATACATGAATCAATTCTTAAATGGCCACGTTTGTTTAATATCATCAATGGATTTGAATGTAATGTCACAATATTAAGACGAGTTTTTGATCTATGACCCATATATACCATCTGTACATGGCATAATACAGTCCCATAAGAAGTTTCCTGTGTCCTATTAATATAAATTTTTATAAGAAGCAAGATGATATTCCTTAAGTTAATGTTGATAAGGGTCTAACTTAATATACCATTTAGATTTTTTTCTATGTTTTTTTTTTTATTTCTACAAACCTTTATCACACTGTTTCTAACTGATCTGTCAAATTTTTCACAGAATTCTTCAATTGCACTTAAAGATTTCGATGTACTCTTTGTATGCTTATCCTGTTCTTGACGAGATCGAATTTTCTCTGAAAAAGTAAATTAGAAATAAAAGTGATCTTAATCATAGTGAATTAAAAAAAACTTTCATAATAATCAATTCTCATCTACATACATGCACTAAAGCACTATTAGAGATCAATTAAATAACAATAAAATATCTTTTAATCAAAATTTTCATATTTTGTTTTCTGTGCCTTATATAGAATGCCTATTACCTATAACCAGGTGAAAAGTTTTACAATCAATGAGTATATTGTGGAAACGTACTCAAGCAATCGCTAGCGGCAACAACATATCCCATGTTTACATGTGCAAATTGATGAAAATCGTTTTGAAACAACAGCAAATTACATTTAAAACCTCAACAGAAAAAAAATCAATGGGTTATTGCAAGTGAGGAATTATTGCTATATTATGTAGTCTCATTTAAAGTAAGAGAAGGTGGAAAACATAAAGAATAAGAGTAAAACTATTGTCGGCATCAAATACTAAGTACATAGTTCAACTGATCAAGAAAACTTAACCAGCATGCACAAATTCATTAAAACAGTATTACATTTACATTTCTTGACAAAAATATCCAATGACTTCACATGAAAGGATGGCTGGACAATTTATCTTGCATATTAATTTAAATAGAAAGCTTTGCACATGTGGGTGGTGTCACCAAATACAGGAAGTTTAGTCACCTATGTTGCTCCAAACAGTGTATGTAAATTGTATGCAATTCCTTCATGTCCTTAGTATTTGTCGTGCTTCCTTTCACTGATTTAATAGAGATAATTTTGATCAGAAACCACTGGTCTACACTGCAGCATTGTTAAAATGTCAAGTAAGAATCAATTGGAATGAACTGAGAGTTGATAATTTATATCAACTTCATTGAAAGTATCCATTATGCATCAAACTAAAATTTCCATATGATGAGCATTTTTTAACATCTTTTTGTCTTAACTTCCACAACCTATGGTTTATATTTCCATATTATGCATAATGATACCAGCAATCTGAGTGCATTTAGTATTTATGAATATCAGCAGCCAATTAAGTTTGCAAATTAAGATATTAAATGAAATGTCCTACAGTTTTCTTTTCCTTTAGTTAACATTCTTTTCCCTATGTCCCACAGGTTTTTAACTTAACATATTGTAAATATATTCTGTAATTTATATGTATTAAAGTGCAATGGGTTTATAAATCTAAAATCAGTTTTCGAATTTAACATGTATTTCTGAAAATTTCAGTCTTGTGTCTATTGTTAAACTTTAAATACAATATATCTTTTTACATAAAGTAAAAGTTCTTCAAATATAATACTTACTAAAAATAAAAAAGTTACCATGAATATTTACATTTTAGTAGCCTAACTTCATTTGACATATCAAATAATCATTTTTATTTGAAAAGGGGAATGAGATGAAAGAGGGACAGGACCTAAATTTGGGTCATGACATATTTTTGAAAAGTTGAATTATTGTCACATAGGGAATAATTTGTGACAAAGCACCTCAATAATCAAACTGGTTGAGTAATCTAATTACAGCAAACAGTAAAGGAGTTGTACTACTTACAAGGTTGATACCATATAATGATTTGATTTATTTTTAGATGTGTACAGGTAAATGCTTTTATTTTTTCTTCAAGATATCAGAACACAGTTATTTTTATTTCAGTCAAACCTACATATGGTACAACCTTACTGTATGGTTTCAATTAAATCCATTTGAAGACTTGGGAAGACTTGAAATTAACAGGTATCATATGATGAAGAAAGTATATCTGCAAGTCAATTAAGAGATTTCCCTTTTATAATGTTTGACTGGATAAGTTAGGTGAACAAGACATTTTCTATACATTCCCTCCCCTTCCCCATAGGCATACCCCCATACAAAGCATCCAGTATTATAATTATGTCCTATGCCAGATGCAGCATGATACAAGCACAAAGATTGCCTGAAAATGATTAGCATTCACCAAAAGTCAATACTGTCATCGTTCAGTATAAAAATTGGAAAAGAGGTAGGGGATTCCAGAACAATTTAAAAAATAACTTTAAAAGTAACATCAAAATTGGATAGCCATATAACATGTTTAAATTTGGTGGTTAGTATTAGGTTTTTGTGATGTTTTTATAAATCAAACATAGTTGACCTCTTACTTATAAAAATAAAAAAAATGACCTTATCATTAATCCTAGTCATTGACTAAAAATTGAAATTGAGGTCAAGGTCAGAAGAACCCATAAAGGCCTTACCATCATATATCCACTAAACAGTTAGTCTATTACTAATATCTGAGAACTGACCTGATAAAAAAAATCTTAAATGACCAAAAACCATGAAATTAAGGTCAAGGTCACAGTCTTTCAGACCATCAAGTTAACCTTTAGTAATTAATTTTTTATTGATAATGTACACCTTGTAGTCATTATATACACCAAATATAGAGGACCAAATACTTACAGTATCTGAGAAACTGACCTAATCATGAAAATTTGTTTTCAGCTAAAATTTTGAAATATTCAATCTAACACGTTTTACCATCAACCAAAATAGATGAATTTATGATGTGTTCTAATCATTGCTGAAAGATTTCATTTAGGCTGCTGCCATAAAAGTATAAAACAAAATTAAATAGTATTGTTTTCCTATAAAACTCAATTCTTTTTTTGTAATCTTACCTATTAAACAATGATGAGCATATTTTAAGGCATCCATGATGACACTTTCCACTGCATAGTTATTTTGATACTGTCCTGATGGTGGATTCCTATGTAAAAAGTTTTGTAATAATTTGTCAAAATCTGCCGGTAAATTACTTATCAACTGATATGGAAAATGTGGTGATGCAAAGTTCATGTCTGCTATAATCAAATCCCGTAGTAATGGAAAGAGAGGGTGTGATCTGAAGGCACTAGAGCGATCGGTTATTAAATGCTGTATAAAACTTTGTTGTGATGACAACATTGGTGGACGGTGTGGTGACCCTGTTTTACAACTCTGACAGTTTGGTATAGTACAGGGCATCGGAGGACCTCCTCCTTGCATAGGATTCTGTCCATGTGTTTGCATGTCTGGCACTGGCATCCCAGACATACCAGGATGTGATCCTTTTGGATTCATCCCTGGTTGCGGTTGTGGTGTCTGAGGAGCAGAGCCTCCCCAGTTTGGCTGACACAAATTTTGAGCACTATTATTTTGTTGAGGTTCTGATGGGAACATCCCACTGTTCATATTAGCACCTTGCATTCGATTATATTGTGGTTGATCAAAGTCATTACCCATATTGCCTTGTCGCATAATCTGTGGTTGCTGTCCATTCATATGCATTTGTTGGGACATATGATGTTGATTGAAATCATCATCTTGGAAACCCGAATTACAGTTCTGTCCCATCATTCCTCCTTGTGGGTTACCATGAGGGTTACCCATCATTTTAGGTCCTGTATTCATCATACTACAACTATTATTCATATTCTGCCCTTGATGGCCAAATTGATTATCACAGAAGTTCATATTGCTCATTTCATTTTGTTTGTAACCTTTGTTTCTCTGCATAGAACCATACATTTGTTGCTGAGCATTCATCTGCTGCATATTACATGAATTTTGTTCATTAAAATGTCTTAATGGCTGCATTCCCATTGGGGCTCCACCCGAACAAGACGAAAAATCTGGCTCTTGCATTGGGTGATTTTGCATAGAACTATTGTAATTATTTATAAACATATTATTCTGATTATTGTCCACATCAAACATATCCCCTGCTTTGCTATGAGGATATTCAAAAGTCTGGGCTGGTGCCATTGGATTATCCCCACTCCCTGGTCGACTATTACTACCACGGGGATAGTTCAAATTATATGGAGCAATGTCAGGTTTCATGCTTGATGACAGACGTGGTAATATTTTGGACGGAAGATTTCTTTGGTTTTCTATAAGATCACAGTCAGGTATATTTGTATCATAAGGATTGTAACCCCCTAAAGCTTCTGATGAATGCTGTTGTTGCAATACTGGACGTTCACAGTCCCCTGCAAAATGAACACTTTTTTGATCCGGTAATGATGCTGAGCGATGAATTGCAGTCATTGAAGATGATGCAGATGCTGATGACTGAACAGAAGAACCATAACTTCTAACACTTCCAGTATCAGCTGAGAAATAACCATTGTCCATCGGAGATTCTCTGTGTCTTGAATACTGCTGTGTTTGTGGCGGGAATCGCATGTTTCCATTTAAAGCACATGCTTGATTCATCTGATTTGGCTGTTGAGGCACATGATTTTGTTGAATTTTACCAGGCCACTGCTGATGCATGTTTTGAACATTAACATTAGGTGGCGCTGGTCGACCTAGTCTTTGGTAATTATATGCACCTGATGAAGATTGATTCCCTCGTTGCATACATTTTTGGGCAACCTGCTGTTGTGAAGTAGCCTGACTGTATGGAGGAGGTTGCTTTTGTGGGGTTGATGTCGAAGGCTGTGGTGAAAATGGACCTTGTGTACTTGAAATACTTGGTGATGCAATACTTTGTGAATTTGATGAAGGCCGACGAGGTGTTGGAGGAGTAGGTGGAGCTTTGAAAACATCATTAGGTGGCTTTATTCTAACAGGACTTGATGGACCTGAAGTAGACACATGAAATCGCTTTGCTACAGGACTACTTGAACCACTTGATGTTGCAACTGTACCATTTGTACTTGAAGCCTGAGAGTATGTTGTAGTGGGACTACCACAAGTCTTTGATCTATTTGTAATTTCAGCACTAAAGGTTGTTTTGTTTGAAGGTATGGCAAAAGTCACAGAGCTGGGTACTGCACATGGAGCTGAACTGACGTTAGCTAATGTGTTTTTAATGGCTTCTGGGGTCATGTACATGTGTGGATCAACCATGTCCTGTTCCATTAAGAACTCAACAAAATCTAACTCCATCCCCTCCTTCATTCCAATATCCTCACATATCTCCTCCAAGAGTTCATTTGGTAATCGGTCATCATCCATGTCTTGTTTGACAGGTGGTGGAGAAACAGGAGGGGATGCTAAGATGTCTGCATTATCCATGTCATCCTGAGAGTGCACACTGGATGCCCCAGGACTAACAGGGGCCTGTCTGTACTCCATTAGCTGAATAAAAAAAAAAAAAAATTTTAGTGCAGTCATTGTTGCTTTTTACTTATTATAAAACACCCATGCAACCACGCATCCTATATTGCCCAATAGGACCCAGCACTATCTTAGTGTTTCGGCAGTTAAAGGTTGGGAAGGTCATCCTAAGATGCATTGCTTTCATATAATCAAATATGAAAATTATTCATGTATATATATATATATTGATATATTTCAATAAATTGTTGTCAAATCCTATCCCAGCACCCCAACTCCATAGATCACAAGATGTTTCAAACATATATTTAGACCAAATATTTCAATAAATCGTATATATATATATTATATATAGATCTGATTCTTTACTTCTTCCCCGAGCAGGGATGGAACCTGTACTTTTTACTTCTCATACATATATTTAGAAAGAAAGATGGATAGATACAAAAATATAGTTATAGATACTTCAAATGAACTTAACAAACTGTTAAAACATTTTTCAAACAATTATAATGGTTTTAAACTTATATTCATCATTCCCCCAATAATCATTTTGACACTTTAGCTATAAAAATATAGATCAATATTAATTCACAGTATTCCACTAATCTAATGATCACAAAAAAAATGAAAATTTTCAAACCTACCTCAGTATACTGATAAAAGCTAGATCCATCATAGAATCAACAAAATCATTTTTATATATATAATCCAATCCTTTAACACTTAACAACATGTTTATTCTACTTTTAATTGCAAAATTTTTCACTTGTAAAAGTGTACCACATATTATCAAAATGGCCTTTTTTGTTGGATACAAGTCAACCATTCACTTGTACAAATCATGTATCCTTTAAAAAAATATAATATAAATCTCACTAAATCCTCATCAATTTAGCCAATTAAATCTTCTTACAAGTTACAGATATCAACCATCTATAAATATTCATGCAAATAGGATTTTTTTTTACTGGTAAGACAGTGTATTTTACACACTACTAAAACAGTATGTAGAACTTTCAAAACTTTCCTCTATCAGTATAAAATCTGGGTCAAAAACAGCAAATGAAATAAATTCCTTTAATCTTAGTTTGTGTATTTGGTACATCTCAAGAGAATCTACCTGTCTCCAGTTTACAGGTAAAATCTTTACGCTGATAACATAGGTCGACCTATACAATGAATGAGTCGGCCTTTGTGTGAAATATTGCCCTCGGTGATATTAATTTGCTTAGTCCATTTATCGCTATTCACCTAATGACAAGTGCCCCTCCTCTCTCGTTCATTCATAAAATTACAATGAATACATTCCACGATAAAACGGCTCTTTAAAAGTTTTAAAGAACTTCAATTTAAAATTTTACTTTCTTTTCAGCTAAATAAAATTGAAATGAACGAAATGAAAATTTAAGTTTCCAGTTCAAAATTTAAATTTTATTAGAGCTGTAAAAAAAAAAAAAAATTTGTGCTTAAAAAAAAACCCACCTATGGATACTATTTGAATAGAGAACCATGTCAATTATAAATGTCCTTTAAGCTGGAGGTTGTTGGGTTTATCATTTCAAAGTATTTTATGTAAATTGTCCAAATTAATTTAATTCAGGGTAATCATAAGTTTGTTTTAGATTTTATTCAGCTTTTCCCCCAAAACATATAAATCCCTACAAAGTCATGAATGGTTACTTGACAATCATACATTATACATTAGACTACGTATATATAATACAAAGAAGAATAAACTTGCTTTGTGTAGAATATGTATACTATCACCAACACTCTGAGCAAAAAAATGGCCTAGACCTTTAGGTTTTTAAAAACTTGGTGCCTAATATAGATGCCATCTCAATTTAGTTAATTCTACCTGACAGATCACTGCAAAACTAAATGTCCATTTGTAGCCAATACCAGTATTTCCTATAGCATTTGTAGCCAATACCAGTATTTCCTATAGCATTTGTAGCCAATACCAGTATTTCCTATAGCATTTGTAGCCAATACCAGTATTTCCTATAGCTTCATTTTTTTTGTTATTCCTTATTATTCATGACCAGCAGTTTACTTCACAGGTGACAATTTTAATGCAGCTTACCTCAACTGCTACAGAAACCACAGTTTTACCTTAAGAGAGGACAACTTATCAAAAGGAAGGAAGTCCTTAGAAACAATTACATAACACTTGTAACAATTGGTTATATTATCAAAGTTGGGCTCTTTTTAGTTTTTAGTTTTCATTGTTTTTTTTTTATTTTTTCAAAGTTTTATTTCTTGTTTGAGTATTTTTCCCCCTTAAAATGTGATCTGATCCAAACCATTAAGAAAAGTACTTATATCTGTGACACAAGTGTACTTAACTTGTCAATACATAACATAATTCTTCAGGATTTTACACCTTATAGGATGTCAAAATTTACCCTACTGTCTGTAGCAAGAAGAAAAAGAAAGGAAAAAGAAAACGAAAAAAATACAAACTAAAGCAAAATATACTAAATGAAAAGGCCTAAGCCAAAAACTGCTCGAATCACATATTTCAATTTAATTTTTTTCCGTATATAAACAAATAAATGCATTTTGCTTGTTTAGGTGTTGGAAAACTGAAAACACAATCAAACGATAGTTCAGGAATCACTGCAGCTAGTGAATTTAACTTTTTATTTATCTATTTTTTTGGTTGGGCAAGCAGTTTTGTTTCCCTGCATCTGTGTAGCAAAGAAGGTTAATGGTTGTACAATGGTTTACAGGGACTGTCCTGAACTGGGGTGTCTATTAAACATACATATTATGACAGTTGTATTTGGTACCATCCACCATCAATCAACACTAATACACACACAGAGACCATGACCTTTTTCTGACAGGTTCAGTCATATTGTAAATATTTAGACCATAATTTCTTCTCATTTTTTCACATCTTTCTATTTTTTATTAACTTCTAGTTTAACTACACTCTGAACCATAAGCAAAATATATCAAACTAAACAAAACCAGTCTTCTGTTAATGGGTTTTTCACCATAAATAAATTTACTTTGAAGATGAACACCATGATGCCATAAATGTAATTGGATATTCAGCATTTATTATGCTTAAGTAGCAGCTTATAATACCATGAAATAAGGTTAAATTGCTGCAACAATCCTCTTCCTAAATATAGAAATCGATCATTTTGCTTAACCATAATATTATGGTATAAATAAGATACACCTTACCAGGCCAACACCCTCTTAGTGTATATAAAACATAAAGTTTCTTCATAATACTTTTAGACATGAGGAGGACTGAAATGATGGCTGAACTTATTTGTTCTTGTTTATACAAATAAATCTATATAGAAATTGGTGCATGGTTGCTGAACTCATTATTTTTAGTATCTGCTGCTCATTGGAGACCTATAAAAGTGGTCTAAGGGTCTGATGAAAGTGCTATACATGTACAGAATATTAAGAACTTCCTATTAATTATTATCATACATGTATGTACTGTTTACTGTGTTTATGACTGTCAGTCTTCTATGTTGTATGCCCCCTCTGTAAACCCATTGATTCTACTTCACTGCTGACATTCATACAAAACATTTTCTTTTCAATTTTCCTTTTTGCAAATTAATACTATGAAAGTTGAATATCTTTAGTCACATTTATAAAGTTAGTTTGAAGAAATTACTAGGAACAATAAGTCTTATTTAATCAACATATCTTTATAAAATCTCAAGTGTCCAGCCCATGTTAAATTCTCTACAAATCTTTCATGGTAAAAATCTTTAGCCTGTGTTTACATAACAGCTAATAGTTTAGTTAAGAAGTGTTAGTATAGTAGTGTTTAATACCGTATATCTCCATATAATCTTCCTATCAGACTAAAACAGGATTGTCTGATTTACTTCCCTGTCAAACTACTGAAGAAATTTCGACATTTGTCAGTTGTACATTACTACACAAGACAATTACATTATAAAGCATGTGTGGAATAAATATATTCTTTTATTTCATATCAGTTTTTTCCCTTAATGTTAAAACAAATTAGATGATATACAGATTAGTTCAAGTTTTCTATTGACTGATTCTCAATAAAGCCTGCCTAAAGATTGTTAACATTAAACAAAGTGAACATTAAATGTGAAAATGTATATATATATATATATATATATATATATATATATAGCAACCAATTTATTCATATCTTGGCTATCTGTTTCAAACTGGGTACAGCCCTCTTCAAACCAAAATTATTGAACCATTCATCAAATAACTGGCTGCACCATCATGACCATGTGATAACAAATTTAGTACAGAAGAAAAGATCTTTTATGGTAACTTTGTCAGCTTACTGACCAAAGGACCATTATATAATATAAAACAACAGATGTATAACATGCTCACATGAAGCTTTATATATATATATATCTATAGATCAATTTTCAGGAAGCTCTGATTTGTAATTCCCGAGAAAAATACAAGAAAAAATGTCATGATATTGTTGTGGACACACAGATACACAACCCTAAACCAGAATTACTGAATCTCTTTTCAGAAGCGAAATCAAGACACATTTTTCTTCTTAGTAATAACAACAACAAAAACATATAGTTTTAAGTCAAGATTTATTTTCCATTTAGAAAAATACATGACAGTTTAGTATTTCCCTGAGATGGTTTTTAATCATATTTATGGTATTTAATTATCTGTAAACTAAGTTTACAATAATGTTTTAAACACCCAGTTAATGGAATTGTTTTCATAAGTTTCCATTTAAAAAATCTTATGCTAAAATTGTTTATATATATTTTGTTACTGGAGATTAAAGTGTCAAAAAAATCTGACTCACAGTAAAATACAAACAGCATGAAGTTAACAGAGAAAGAAAAAAACTTTCCTCTAGGCAGGATCAAAACAGTTATTTTCAAAAATTCAAAGTTATATTGTCATTTGAAAGACCATCCCTTCTGCCAATGAAAAATGGTCCCTGACAACTGTTAAGTCTCCCAAAATTATATAAAAATAAAACCTAGTCTGTCTTTCCTGCAAGGCTCTTTTTTTTATTCCTCATTTTTTTTACATTACAAAGACAAAAAGCGAAAGAAATAAAACAAAACAAAAAAAAGTTGAATGAAAATCTAAGTGATAATTTTCTTACTTCCTCTGTCAACATAGCTCTGATAATTTTTTTTTAGAGGAAACAAAATTTAATCTTGAGATGAATATATAATATTCATATACATATTAATTATGCATAAATCTTTCAGTCCGATAAAAAAAATGTCCTGGAATCTCATTTTTTCATCACTGAAAGTTGTAAGTTCTATAAATATAACATATAAAATGAGACTTTAGTCTCCAAGGTTCATGTACATGTATTAGCCACACAGAACCTATATATACATTTTTATACTACTGAATCAAATCAGTTCATGATTACTGAATTCCATATTCAAACAGGAATAATTCCAATGCAGACTCAGTGTTGTAGTTATCTCAGATAATCAACAAGTTAAACACTGAGCTTTTGCTCACTATCATAATACCCGCCATCATTTTTTGGTAGACAGAAAGTTGATGAAAATAGAAAGCTCATCACACAGTATAGCATGCTCACATCTATCAATGAATCTATATACCAAATAAAGTTGTCCTATAACTCATAACTGAAAAAACTTATGTAATGAAAACTATTGTTCTTTAATGATGTACCGTGACAACACTGTCCCACTGGTTAGATGGAAAGTTTGGCACCAGCAAAAATGTTTAACCATATATATCATATTTGTTTTTCTTAGTTGTTTTGTACATAAATCAAGTTTTCTAGTTTGAATTTTTTTATTTTTGTCATTTCCGGGCCATTATTAGCTGATTTATAATGAGGTATGGGTTTTGCTCATTGTTGAAAGCCATATGGTGATTTATAATCATTAACTTCTATGTCATTTGCTATCTGGTGGAGAGTTCATTGTCTCATTGGCAATCATGCCACATTTTCTTTATGTGAATACTATATAGTTCTTTAAATTGGTCTTTGAACCATGAAATAAGGTCAAGGACAATGGACATATGCCAGACAGAACACCCACACCATAAAGGCATCTGTATACCCGCTATAGCCTGGCATCCTGACCCAATCTAATACTTTGTCGATAGGGCCAGGCGTAAGACAATCCACGTGACCAACTATCAGCGTTGAACAGGACTGAATTACTGCGTGCATTTTCTATAAACAAGGAATATATCGATCGGATCGTTAATTAACAGTTGATTCATGATGTTAATCAATAACGTTTAAATCATATATGCTAAATTTTTCGAAAATTTGCATTTCATATGAAATGAAATAATTTTCAATG